GCAACTTGGATGGAGCTGGAAAAGATCATGCTTAGTGAGATAAGCCAGAAAGAGAAAGAAAAATACCGGATGGTTTCACTCATAGCAGGAGTATAATGGACCAGGCGAGAAAATAACAAAAATAATGAACAACCTTATACCAGAGACATTCTGTGGGGGCGGAGTGGGGAATGGGATCAAAAATGGGGGGGGGCGGGAAGGGAGGGAAATGCATGGGACTATGGTGGTGGCACAGGGGTGATTTGGTGATGGGAAACCCGCGGGGATTACAATCGAGATGGAAAAAAAATGTGCAAAATGATGTAAAAATAAACTTTGTAATAAGAAAAAAATTCATGTTTTAGATTTAAAGAAAACTATTGACGTAGAAGCCACTTTCAAAGTTCTCAAGAGGTCCAGTATCAAAGATAAAGAAATATTAACTTCATGTATACAAAATGATTGTGTATATCATTGAAATAACATGATTATTCAAAATATATAGTACGTATCAAGCAATTGAAGTATTTTCTAAAACATTTTAAGGGCTCCTGAGTAACTGTTATGGATATTGGAGTCCTTGCTATGTGCGTCTCTCAGCCCTGCCTCTGATGGATCACTTTGGTTTGAGGGACTGTTTCTTTACCACGTTTGCAATAGCTGGTTCCGTGGGAACCTTCTTTAATCTTCTACAAGTCACAGCCTCACTTAATATCTAGGGAGTTCATAGAGCAGCATGAGTTTAGAATAGGAATAATTTAAAGATTTGTACACTCCAATTTGTGCTTTGTCTCTAGGGTTCAAACCCTTGAGGCCACTGAAAGTCTGTGTGGACAGAGTATGATGTCAATATGTGATTTGATTTGTTCCTAGAATATTCCACAAGGGAAAAGTACAGAGAATCTTTACTCTCCTCCAGAGAGAGAAGTCAGTTATTTTTTCCACTTTAAGAAGAAAGAGGTAGAAAGAATCGTGGCAAATTTTCCTCTGGGAATTGTAGTTTTTGTTGAGTAAAGAATAAATCTTTACTCCTGGAGGCAACATTTAGAGCTCCATGGTATGTTGAGAATGCCATCATCATTTGTAGCAAGCGGTCCTCAGTTGAGATTTCTCCTCAGATGCCTGCCACAGGGTATTAGAACACACCCTACGCCTCCGAAGAGTCTTATCTTGGTGAGAGGAGATTCCTGAGGAGTATCCAGGCTGACATCTTGTTTTATTGTGTTTTTTTTTTTTAATTGAGGTAATGCTGCTTTACTCCACTACATGAGATTAAGGGTGCCATCTCCTAAAGTAAAAATTGAAGTATTTTAGTAAAAATAAAGTATATTTGTACATGAGATTAGATTTTCAATCTAAGTAGTTGAAGCAGAGCAGAGAGGCTGCAGAAACCACATGCCTTTGTAGAGGGAACCACATTCCTGGTGACATGTACTGATCTCCCCTGACAAGACTGTGTACAGCTAAATGGAGCAAATCCCCAGGTTTCATCCCAACTGAAGCTCTGAAAACTTCCGTGCCCTGAAGTGTGTGTGTGGTGGTGGTGTGGTGGGGGTGGCGAGTGTCCCCAATATCTTGGCAGCTTTTTCACCATCACCTCCCAGTGTGGCTGAAGGTTGATCATTCAAATGATTCCAGTGTGTTTGGAAGGAATCTGGAAGGATGAGAAGCCTCAGAGCAAGCAGTTCCTCTGGATAAGACTCTCTAACGGCCACAGGAATGAAAGAACCTTATTGTGCTTAATCCAGGTCTGATATTAGCACTTACTTCATACTAGGAAGGAAAATTCTGTTAAGGTCATAGGGAAGTCTTCTCCTTGTGGTAACTATGTAAGATATCAGTTTGTAACAGTTATTTCTTTTTGAACCTTCCCAAGGCTGTCACCAGATATTAATAATTACTAGATTCAGAAGTTACTGATATTTAAAAGTTGTCCTAAACAACACAGGGCAGCGTCAGCGCTGACCCCGCTGCCCAGAGCTGGAGAGCGAGCAGCCCCTACCCAGGTCTAGCCTGGGGAGAGTGGGGCTCACTGCCTTGCACCCATTTCTGAGCTCTGTTCCTGCAGGGATTCTGTCGGAAGGGGAGTTCACTCAGGCTCTCTAGACATTGTCTTCACTGTTTGTGATGCTTAACTTAAGGGTTTTAATCTACCATTGTGATTATTTTTGAAAATATCTCAGTAAAATGAAAGGACTAGTGATGGAAAAGATTACAGTTGTTCAGACATTAATCTAAAACAAAGGCAATATTCCCCTTTTGCTTTATAATGTAGAGTCATAGACAAACTTTGTTGTTAACTTAATGCATATTTACATAAAAACAATCATATTTACCCAACCTAGAATGTCTTCAGTTTTTCCTGACATTCTAACCATGGGCCCCTGTATTCTCATTCCATGCCTCCCTTAAACTAGTATTTTGAAAATACTGGAAAGTGTCATTGCATTTGCCTTCTAGGTATCTGATAAGTAATTTTCTTACTTCCTGACAAAGAAAACATCACGAAAGCAGTTTCCCTGAAGTCCCCTCGTAGCATCTCCTCAAAGCAGGTGTAAGACATTAGTTCATTTTTGGTTGCCATTTTCTCCTCAGATATAATATGGCCCAAATCCTCAAACACAGCAATATCCCAAGGAAACACCATTTTAAATTATTTATTACTCAGCATTTTCTGAACTAGTAAAGTATTCAGTGATTAAATATTGTGAACTATTTTACTAGCAAATTATAATTACACCTTGGACGATCCATAGAAACTAGTGATAGAAGCTAGTTATGGAGCGTGAGTCTGTAGAGAAGCTTCAATTCATAAAAGTGGAATAATTTTCGGAGCTTGTAACTCAGGTGTCCTGTGTTGCCATCTCTGCCAGATTACGATAGGAGATATTTGAAATATTGTGGACACTGAAATGCCACTGTGACTCTATCAACATCTGTCTGGTATCTATGTGTATCTCTATTTATATTAAGAATTTATTATCTGTGTATATATGTGTATCTCTATTTATATTAAGAATTTATTATCAGACATTAGCACTCGCTCCTTGAGTACCTTGTTTCACATAGAACATCAGTGACTGCACAGAGATAGGGCACTCATCACAAGACCTCTCTAACCAGGCAAAGGAGTCATCTCAGCCAAAGAATGGCTCTTGGTAGCAAACCCCAGCTCATGATTTATTTTACCCTGGGGATTACATGGATCTTTATAGTGAGTTTGTTAATCCTTTTACTATTTTTGTTGTTGATTCTTATTCATTTCATTCATGCCTGACAGAAGTCCCCATGTTTGTCTATAGGAGGGATAGTAGAAAAAGACACTGTTGGTGACAGCAAACTGTGAGATGAGATGGCTATGCCTTGTTTGTGAGGTTGTCCTCGTGTGTGTCATCCTCAGGCTCATCAGGTCATACGATTAAAATACATGAAAGTTTTTTTTATATGTCAGCTTCTCTAATCTTAAAGGGGAATATTATTTTTTAAATTTAAACAGCCCCCGCAGGCTCGCACAGTGAGACAGTGACTGTGCACATGACCCACACTCATATTTTGAGGGACCCTTGTGCATGTTCAGCCTTGAGATACTTACTGAATCTGATATTTTCGCAGGGTTATACAATATATTCCAGAACATTTATCTTCAAATTCTATAATCATAAAGGAGACCTATGAATTGATCTGTAGTCATCACCTCTTTAAAGGACTCATCTCCTACTATCTTGGACTTTGTAGTTCTGCAAAACTTGTATTGGTCTCTTGGGTAAAAGTGATGTCAGTTGCAACATTGTGTAACTCGAGTTGTGGTGTTGAAAATACAAAACGTTGGTTAGTTGTAAAAAAGTATGTACAAAGACTTCCCCCTGGAATTGTTTGTGTAGTCTTTACATCACCCTAGGTGTTATTCACCTGGGATGAACAGAAATAACTCTGGGGCCTCAAAATGGAATTGAGGAGAAAATTAATAGCTTTGATGTAAAGTGAGTACGTGTATCTTTTGTTCTTCATTCACATGTGAGAATGTGTCTTTGAGGACATCCTGTGGTCATGAGCAGTAAAAGACACAGTTAATCTCGACATAATGTGTACTTGCTCTTTTATTCTAGAGGGTGGATAACTCAACTTGTAACCACACTGGCATTTCACATGTAAGTGAGAAATTACTTACCTTATAATCAGCTTATATTTAAGCTTTGTGAAGTTACTTCCATGAAGTATTGTTGTTCTTTCTTGATATTTAATTCGTAAACTTAAAATGGTACAATTTATTTCAACTTTGACTAAATAGTGCAAAAACAAGGCAATCCGAATAAAAGAACTGAGAAACGAAAGTGGGACCTGTAGAGGCAACTGGCGTTTCTGCAGACTTGGTTAGTACATTGAGGACTTGATCCCATCGGGTGATTCATTGCAGTTACAGCATGTCTGGAATTTTGCTTGATTGCTTTTATCAAGTGAGAAAAGATGATGTGGTTGAGAAGGTTGATGGTGCTGGGAGTGATGGTGGAGGAGGAGAGGATATAAGAAAGATGACTGATTCATAGAATTGACTGAGATATACCGGCTGGGAATTTAGTATAATAATGAAAGTTATACACATATAAATGCATTACATTTAGTCACTTTTACATTATATGGCATGCGACCTAAGTGGAAGGTAAAATACTAACTCAACAAAAAGCTAGTAAGAAAATTAAAAGTATGCACCAATTGAAACCTGTGTCAGGGAAATAATTAATATGGAAAATGTATATATGATTCTAAATATAAAAAATAACATGATACTATTCATGAAACTTTACTAATATATATGAAAATATAAGTACAACTTAGAATGAACACAATGTACATTATTGACAACTGTCATCATCAATCACAGGAAAATCATTTATATATAACATACAGTAAAATATAATATTATCTGTATGGGGATTGGCTGAATTTCATGTTTTCTAAGATATTTTGGAAAACTTAACATAAAAATCTCATATGATGCGAGCTACAGGTGCCACTATATCCACATGCTGAACAAGATTAGAGAAATGATAATGTGTAAATTTGAAAGGTAAAATAATCTCTTATGTTTTAGTATACAGGAAACAATAACATTTAGAGAAGATACTTCATAAGAATCCGAAATTCTAAAGGTACCCACGTAGGGCCCTACCTGGTGGCGCAGCAGGTTGAAGTGCAGCACGAGGGAGCTATCCATAGCTGCTTTGCACCGTCAGATCCCAGCCGGTGGGGTGACCCACCTGGCGCAGCAGGTCTCTCCTGTCTTGCCCGCTGCTCCCCTCGGCAGTGTATTTCGGTAGATGCCTGTACCACCCCCCACTCTGTCTCTGGTGAATCCTCTCACTGCCCCTGCACCTCTGGCCTGTACCCCAGTTCTGCATGCATTAATACATCCTAAATAAATAAACTAGTATACAATGTGAAAACAAAGGCTATTACTAATATTAATTTGGTAACACTTGCTACCAAATGTTAATTTTGATTAATGTAAATTTAGTAAATTAGATTTGTAGCTCCAAAAGATGGAGTAATGATACGTTAGGACTAAGCAATATTATGGATCTAATATCCCTTTACAAGTCTGTACACCAAATTATATATTCTCTGTGAAATGAAGATATTTGAACAATGCTAACATCTTGATAAAAATGTACATGATTAAACTTCTTGTTAAATATGATCATTGCTTTGAAAATAGGACTCAGCATTACAGAGACTTAGACTTTTTGAGGAGGTAACTGATTCGATTCCCAACTAGGTAAGTACAAGATTGCAAGAGAACAAATTTTTAAAATAGAAAGAGGAAACTACTTACACTAAGTAGTGTGGATAAATGATTTTTGTAATGTAGATTTGTGGAGAAAAACATTGGGGTTGACTAAACCATATTCACCTTGAGAATATTAACATTAATATTAATGTTAATGAAGTGAATTAATTTTTATTGCAAATAATACTCTTTATTTTTTTAAAGATTTATTTGTGCATACAGAACTGGGGTACAGGCCAGAGGTGCAGGGGCAGTGAGAGGCTTCACCAGAGACAGAGTGCGGAGCAGAACAGGGGGATTTGATGAAGTACACTGCTGAGGGGAGCAGCAGGTGAGACAGGAGAGGTCTGCCGCGCCATGTGGGTCACCTCCCTGGCCAGGGATCAAACTCATGCTAAAGTGGCTTTTAGCTTTTTAC